AAAAAAAATATTAATAATAATTTATCATGGCTTAGTGGTAAAACAAGTAACAATTTAAATCGATTTAGTTAAACAAGAACAGAGGATAAAGCCTAAAACTTACTTTCCGTTTATCTATTTGTTAATCTTCGCTGGATTGTTTGTATAATTTTAGGAAAAAGGGACTGCCCCCCCAGCTTGTATGTTAAAAAAGGCCCTGGTGTGGATCTTCCGATATCTTCGGTTCTGATAACCATGATTAATTTTTATATTGTTATTAATGTAGCTCCGTTCCGGCAGAGTCATGCAAGCAGCCTGGGGCCCACCTTCAAATGACAGTCTTTGATTATGACGTACTCACAGACGACATGGCGGGTCAAGTATTTGCAACGCTAAATTATGTCCCAGGCCTCAACACTGAAATCCCGGCCACCTTCTCTGGGATCGAGCAAGTGTTATTACCCATAATCCACCCGACACCTGATGGGAAGCATTTTGATAGTAAGTACAAGAGATGACCCTTACTGGACCTCTATGAAGAACAGTTTAGGACAGATAGAACTATCCAGTATAAATAAAGTTAGTTTAGTTTAGGTTTCCTTCTGTAGTAACACTAGATCAATAAGAGATGACCCTTACTGGACCTCTAGCCTCTAGGACTAGGAAGAACAGTTTAGAAATGGTAGAGCTATCAAGAATGTACATTTTTCTTGCAGTTTTAAAAGCAAGAAGCGATGAAGCGGCGGTGAAATTCGTGAAAGAAAGACAAGAACTATATAACAAGTTACTGCTTATACGAGATAAAATTTCAAAGAGAGCTTTTAATAATTAATATCACGCTTATACATAAAACGCTTAGCCTTAGGCCTGTTTCAAACGCCGCGCTTCTCATGTGATAATCAGCTGAACTGCCTCATTATCTATTGTTTGAAAGATCTGTCACGACATGAAGACAAAATAGAAAGTAGCGATTGGAAAATATCGACATAGTTGTGGACAACAAGGGTTGAGAAAAGTTCCTCCTAGGTAATTCCAGAAGTATTGAACTTTTTTAACCATGTTTTATCAACAACCGTGAAAGACGAGAGTTGAAGAAAGTAGATGCAACCCTTGCTTGCGTTTGACTGGCAACTTTGAGCTGATTTTAATGACGGAGTTTTGGCCTCGCGCATGCGGTAATATCCAGGCAACTCTCATCAACATGCAACTCTTGTTCTCATTTGACCGGGGTGTGAGGGTTGAGAAAACTCTTATGCAAACTCTTGCTTGACAACTCTCATCAACTCTCATTCATTCATACATTCATACTTTATTTGATAATGCAGGTTAATTACATATGTCAACTAAAAGCTGATGTGGACCTGCATTCTCGTTTGCTATACAGCTCCTCAATATTTCAACGAGCCACATTTTGTACCTAAAATATTTGTAATAAGGATAGATAATAGAACTAGAATTACAAACTGTGAGTGAAATGCTGTGAGTGAAATGCTGTGAGTGAAATGCTGCGAGTGCCTGTGGCTGTATCTTCCCCGGTTGTCTCTTGGGTAGTCTTCAGGATAGTAATTGCATGTCCTATTCGCATGAACGGGGTCTAGCATAAAAATATTGGCGAATTTCATAACCATGACAACAGCAGCACCATTTACTGTAATATGGCAAACATTTTGAATGAGAATCACTGAATCAAACAGATAAATACAATCTGTACTGGAATTTTTTGCTGCCGAAGGCACCACTCCTAATCTTGACATGGTCTGACATGGAGGTTTCTCCAGAATTTACTCTACCCAGTCTTTCGCGCCGATCTATGTATTGTTGCATGAGCAAGTTGTCAAGATCTCGATCTTGTGTCTGTCCATTAAGATGTTGTAATTCCGGGGGGAACAGAGTGCGAGAAAAACTGTTTAGCATTCATTCTGGAGGCAATCAATGTGCTTTATGTCATGAGTTTACGGCACTTCTAACCACTAAACTGTTAACAAATTAATGCACCTATCAATATTAATCTGGGGGTAAGGGTGTGTTGGCAATGGGTGGGGATTTAATCGTGAATTCTATCCCCACAGACAGGCATTTGACAAATATTTTTTGCCAGGGTGTGGGCGATTTGCCCTTCAACATAATTGAATATGCAATTTTAGTACGAAGCCTGGAGCCTAGAATTGAGAAAAAACTTTTTATTTTTTATTTCCACTTCTGTCCTCTGGCCTTTTGGAATTTGAATACAGTACATAGTCTAGTTTCTGGGGATAAAATTTACGATGCCCAGGTGCTTTTTGTGGCTCTTTTATTCAATGTTATTAAAATATTTTGCCTCGATCTATCCCCTGGGGGCGTCTGTTTTGAAACATTTGATTATCTTAGAATGCCCCACCAGCGGGCATTTGACCCAATTTTTTGTCAAATCCCCACCCATTGCCCGCACCCTTACCCCCTGATTAATATTGATAGGTAACACTGCATGATATATATTCACAAATGAATGACGTGATGACGTCACACAAATTTATATACATACCAAATTTTATAAGTCACATGATGACCTCATTAGGGTTACATATATTTTTTTCGAATGCCGAAAATTTTTTATTACCGAAAAACTTCTTTTATTACTGGTAATAAAAGAAAAAAAATTAAAAAAAAAAGGTTTTATCGAACCCTGTTGAAAAAGCATTCATCAAAGCTGAACGTATTATAGTACAAGCTGTGATTTTCGTGCTCGTCGAATGCATCGTTTGTTTGTCTATAAATTTGCATAGTATTTGCGTCAAGAGGCCATCGCGTCTCACGGGGCTGGTAGTCCAGGGACGACGTCTCTGTCAGGGATGGATCTACTTTCAAAAGCATCGAGATATTAAAGTCGATGTCCCTCATCAAGAATCTGATCTACGTTGGGGTGCGGTCCACTGTTCCATCGGCAAAGTGTGAGCAAATAATAAAAGAAAACTAAACTGAGAACATTGTCTTCCGCGTGAAATGTTACTAAACCGTTCGCTACCTTGATGAATGCTTCCAGCGACAAATAAGTTTAAATTTGACATGATTTTAATAAAAAAACTTACCTATATCTTGCCTAGCTTCGAGGCTTCGCAGTTCCCACATGGCAATTGCTAGATAGTATACTTCAAAATAAGATTTCCGTTTTTATATCAATTTTTAAAATAATTAAAATAAGTTAGGGTGAGGTTAGGGTTTAGGTGAGGGTTAGGGTTAGTATTAGGGTTAGGGTTTAGTTTTGCGTTAGGATAGTTTTTTCTACGTTATAAAAATGGAAACCTTATTTTGAAGTATACTATCTAGCGATCACCGTTCGCACATGCTTCTGACCATAGATATAGGAGACCTAGATTGCTGACTTGGCTGAAGAGGCGCGCCAAATTTGAAAATCCAAGATGGCGGCTCAACCGGTCAAAAATCATAGAGCGAGATAGGGAAAAACCATGTTTTTTGCATTTTACATCGTCCTACTGTTTCCGATCCCGTTGAACCACCTTTTTTTTGGGAGAGCTAACTGGTGTGAAAGTTTTGGATGTATATTTGTTATAATTAGTACGATTTACAGTTTAAAATTCAACCGGGCAAGAA